GCTCCATCACCCTTCAAACACTTTCCCAAAATGTCATATTGAGATCCCATTAATATACATCAATAAAAAGCACCAAATGGCATTTAAACATACACGCAAGACCAAAGGAAACCATGACAAACACATATATTCATAATAATTGAACACTTGCAATTTGCTCAATTTTCGCTGAGTGTATGAAAACAATATAAATAAATAAACAGTGATCAAGCACAGATAAAAAGAGTTCCAATGATAAAAATTTAAAAAAAAAAAAGAAAAAGAAAGAGTTCCAACGAAGACAATATTTGGTTTCTTCTTCAATACCTTGTACTGTTTTCTTTTTTCTTTTTTTTCTTTTTTTTCTGTACTCAACAACCAAATCTAACATGTATGTTGTGTTTGTTTGCTGCGAATTACAAGAAACAGAAAGATCATGAGTTTTATGACCATAGGATGAAGTGTGTGCATTGTTGTTATCCTTCCTACCTTGTCCATGTTTGGAACAAGCTCTTGTAGTTTCCTCATTCTTTCACTGATCTGGGTTCTCCTTGACTGTGAATTGCATGAATAAAGGAAGAAAACAAGTCACCAATGATAGATGTAAGCAGGAAAAAACTAGCTTTCATTCTGGAAAATCAACAATAAGAAGATTTGAGGACATATGAAAAATGACATGCCTTGTACCAACTTATTTAAAGATCTCCTGACCTCAAGTAAAGCACTCTACTCGCGATTGGGATTTTGATATAACTAACAGGTACCAAAGATGAAAACCAAGCTTGAAAGCTTTAAACCCACAACAATGGTGGAAAAGGGTCAGACGAGAGAGAAAGAACAAGAGAGAATGAAGAAAAGTTGACCAAAAAGTGACTTTTAAACGTACTGAATTCGGACACTTCGCTTGAGTGACCAATCCTTCGCTCGAGCAAAGAACACAGATTCCCAGAAGTTCAGATTCAACAAGACAGACCGCTCGAGCAACTACTCATGCGCTCAAGCGGACATCGACAACTCACAGAATCTCAGGCAGACCTGCAAAAATACTGGGAGCTTCGCGAGACCACTCGAGCGAACATTCCTTTGCTCGAGTGACGAGAAAAAGAAAAGAAATTCTAGAGTGCTACAACCTCCCCACCTTAAGAAATTTCATCCCCGAAATTAGGGAAGGACTGAAACCAAAGGACAAACCAATTCAGATGGAAACACAACCTCTGACTTAATACACATGAGATATATTCCCGAAATAAAATCGGAGTCAAATTAGAAGCTATTCAATTCTGAGGGCAAGACATAACTTCCAATCAAAAGCTAGACTCACAATCGATATAAATTCTCGAATTCAGACTCAAAACCTCAACGCCCCAAAGACACCCAAACAAGAAGAAGCACGAGAAAGAGATCATAATTTATCAGTACACTCATCAAAATCCAAGAGACAAGGAACAACACCAACCATTCTACTCCCCTAATGACAACACCGCACAAAGATGACCAGGAGAGACCAAATCCCAATGTCGAAGGGAAAGGAAACCACCATAAAACAATACCTGGACAACACCTGCGAAAGAAAAGACGCCCCATACTCACTGCCCAAAACACAAATTGATATAACAATTGCAATCGCATTATATTTCCTCAAAATAAATATGCCAATATATATATACACATACACAACAAGCAATTCAACCCAAGTTTCCATACAACCCCATTATAAGAGATAGAACAATGAACGGTCGCAATTTTGTAAACAAAATTCTCCATTCCTCTTGAAAATCTTTTCATTTTTATATATATTCCCACTTAGATTAGATCTTCCACATTAATTTAACTATGCCATCCTAGGCCACAACACAAGGAAAAGAAATTTTCATTTTCCAAACCATTCTCAACATTCATTCGGTGAATCCCAACCATCACCCAACAACCTCCATCACTCACCCGGTGATGTTACAACCCATTTACCACACACATCTGTAATAACAATGAATAGAAACAATAATAACAGTGCATTCGAGGCATAACACAGCACATATGACTTCCCGAAAGTTGGAAGTTCCCAATCACTACAAACATCATCACTAACAATCGATAGTACACATTGGCACAAGTGCGATTACAATAATCTACATTCAAACACTTTGATTCAATTTGAGTCATTTCACAGGTTCATATCAACAACATACACACACAAGCAAAGCTCAATGCCCTCCAGTACTACCTAAGTACCACCCAACCGTACCACTTTTTACTCAAACCGAATCAATTCCCAAGATGACTATATGTCAATAAACTTCGAATACCACGCATCCAGACCACCGATTCCAAACCAAACCAAGCAACCAAACCAAATCAAACCAAGTCTTGAGTCTCATTAAATGTGATCGGCCACAAGGATCCATCTGCTCTACATGACTTAATCCACATCGATAGGCTAACCAACACGTATCACCCCTATCCAGCGCCAAACCACTAAAGTGACTATTTGTCACCCAATCCAAATATCAACCATCCGACCACCCATCAATCAAAACACAGTCCATATTTCCTCCCAAGAAACACTTTTAGTACCCAACCACTAAGTTCCCTTCACATTCGTAAACTCCACACAACTCTTGATCATGACGCTCACTACTTAAATTCCATACTCCTTTGCACCCACACATGACTACCATCTCTCGGCAAACCTTACCCACTTCCTCGTCATTACAAAACACAACCCTCACACCCCTTCCAAGCACTTTCACAATCTTCTAAGTACTCAGATTAATCTCATACCATCCTAAGGTTCTACCTCCTCCCAACCATGCACTAATTGAACCATATAACTCTCTTTCAACAAATGTTTTTAAATCAAGTCAAGACTCCTAAGCCAATACATGCTTCATTCAGGAAATAAAATCAGCTACACAACAAAATGCTAAAATTACAAATTCATATAGCACTATCCACCGAAATGATCTTATTCTAACATATAATTTACCCAAAAGCTGTCACAATACTATTTTAAGTTCACATAGAACTCGTCACGACTAGGTACACTTCCTAACTATACTAAGGTACTCCCAATGAAAAAGTTAACTCAAAGCCACTCTCATTCATTGAAACCAATGCCATGCCACTAACTCCAAATTTGCAACACGACTCCACACTATACTAATATTATGACGATCCACAAGATTAAACTTAAATTCAACAACTCCCATAATACAAACTCACCCAATGATAAATATTAATATCACTCCCAAGACTAACTAACTAAAAATTTTACCTCTCATCTTAGAAGTATCTAGAACAATCACAAGGAAACAGCTGTAAGAGTATTAAACAACTTAGAAACTAATCTACTCCAACTAACTAAAACGCAAGGAAAACATAACCTAATTCTTACAACTACTCGTGTCACAAGAAAAAGGTACCAATTGCCATTCAAAACAATCACGAAAAGCCAACGAAATAAGACAGAAGGGTATGCCAATGAATAATCATGTTCTTGTAGTCACTTCAAAATCCCACCTAAAATCTGTAGTCAAGTCATCTTTACCCAAACTCAAAAAATAAATAAATAAACAAATTTAAAAAAAAAAATACGACCACGAGCTATAATGCCATCCATTCATTCTAAGAAATCTTATGTCAACAACGGATATTTCAAAACATTTTTTTTTTCTTTTTTGTTTCAAGACTAACACTGCTGGAAATTGGACTTTTAGTGGCGTTTAAAAAACGCCGCTATATTTATAAAAAACGCTGCTAATTCCTTTTGGGGCATTTAGTACCAAGCGTCGAAGATGCGGCCGTCGCTGTAGCTTTATGACGTTTTGAAAACGTCGTGATATGAGTATAGGAGGCATTTCAAAAAACGCCGCAAAATGTCTTACTATGCACATGCCGACGTCACCGCCGATATTTAGCGACGTTTTGTAAACGCCGTCGTATCTGTTTTTAAAAATATGACCGTTAGTATTATGGTTTAGGAGGCGTTTGTAGAAACACCGTCATATCTCTCTTTTTTTTTAAAAAAAAAAAAGTTGTGCTAATTTTATTTAATTGAATTAAAAATATCTGTAATAAAAATGACATATAAAATATTACCTCCCATTCAAATACCTATAATAAAACTAACATATAAAATAATAACTCCATTCAAATAACAAATGAAGCATTAATTCAGTTTCTCATTCAATTAATATCCAATCACCATTACCCACAAAATAACATATCCAAAATCCAAAAATCATGTTTTAACATTAACCACAAACTAACATATATCCAAAAATCATGTTTTAGCATAGAAGTTGTGGTCAACACTGGTCTACACGCCCGCATCAGAACATAAACTGCAATCAGATTTACCAAAATAAAAATATAATAAAATTAAATCCTCAAGCATCATAAAAATTATGTTTTGAAATGGATTTTGCCATTCCAAATAAACTTAAAATTGACTGTGTACAAAAAAAATATGGCATATTTTATAAATGCTCATCCCCATAAATTATATTCTACACTAGAATGCTATAAATTGGAATGGTGCCTTCTGAGTTCAAAGTTTGCAGAGGCCCACACATTTCAAATAAAAACTGCAACACACCCACAGGTTTCAGAAAAACCCACAAAACAAAACATGATAATTGAAATCAAGAGACCCACATTCAATTGACAAAGAAACCAGAACATATTGCGAACACTAGTTCCCCGGTAATATGTAACCTCTGTTTCGTTGTTGAGAAAAGGCCGGAAAAAGAGAGAAAATTCAAATCTTCCTAAACCTACAGATTTTAAAGATTTTCAATTTCTTTCACTTGTACCCATTGAATCTACAACAAAAATGGAAGGTAAGAGACACAAATCATTAATCGTGAAGACTAACCACACCGAATGGAAATTAGGAGATAAAATACAAGAAAAAGTAAAGCAAACCTGTAAGTCACCTGGGCTTAGTGGATCACTGAGCAATGCGTATGGAGAGAGAGAGAGAGAGAGAGAGAGAGAGAGAGAGAGAGAGAGAGAGAGAACAATCTTTTTGATAGGGAACACTGATAGGCTTTTTAGTTCGAAAAATTAACCAGTTGAGCTGCCACCTACAATTGATATTTTATACAGACAGACAACATCCAACCATCATAATAAAATGATTTGAATAAATAACAAGATGCATAGAAACAAATATATAAATATTACACCGTTGTAATCGAAATATATGACCAAAAATGGGTGAGACCACTAAAAAGAGGAGCATTAATAGCTCTAAAGTGGTGTGGGTCCCACTTGATGGGATGTTTTGCTCTTGTGTTTTTTTTTTGTTTTTTTTTTAAAATTTCCACCTCATTAGTGGTCCATTAGTGCTCCCAAATTAGTGGGATGAATCATTGCCGCTATATGACATAATAGCAAAATCACTTAAATGAGCAGCCATTATTACGTTCAAAAGCAAAAATGGAAACACGAGTTGGAAACATTTGGTGTATCAATAGAAAATCCAAAGAAATAAGCATATATCAATATCAAAATCACAGGCCAAACAAAATTAGATGAGTCTAAGGACAATTTAAATACATGTCATTGAACTGGACATAAACCGCAATTTCCCCCAGAAAACCAGTACAACAGATTAAAATTCAAATTATCTTGATAGCTTTTACCAACTACAAATTATCAACTTCAGATTATCTTGTTATGTAATTTTGAAATTCAATTTTCTAAATTTAGCTTGATCGCTTATACCAACTACAAATTGTCATTTCTTTATTAAAAGTATTGGTATGTAACTTTTATTTCTTTATTAATTTTTTATCTTAAGAGAGGAAATAATGACACTCATTTTTTTAATATTTTTTTTTCTTCAGATATTATCAACTATCATTAGATAAGTTTCAAAATTTTATGTAGCATATATATCAATATACTAACCCCCTGCTTCAATTTATTTATTTATCTTGAGGCTGGTTGTGGAGCCAAGTCAGCAGCCTATGTGGAATGAGCAAAAATAAAAAATATTACAGGAATCAGTACAGCATATATTTGAAACCACAGATAAAGCTTTGTCGTTTTAGGCACTGTGTATAACATAAACATATAACAGCCTGAAAAGGTGGAAAGTGGATAAAAAATAGTTACCTATATAAGAGATATTTATTAGCTTTACTGAAGGCTTTTTCTAACATTTTCATCAGTCAACATCAGAGGCTATATGTTCCAGTAAACTGTCATTGGTGATTATATATTGGGTTTATTATTAACACAAGATGTACATGTTTTACATGACCTCCAAGTACATGTTTTACATGTCAGGTTCAGTTGAGTGGTTCTTGTTTCTCAGCTCTACATGTTCCCAATAATATAGAGTAACTCCTTATTTATCTATTTATTTTACAGGGAAAACTGGTTTCACTCAATAGATATATTCATAGCAAAAGTAACACAATGGAGTTTTGGATTTGACCATAAGAACACAACGCTCTCAAATCTCCAAAAAAGCACAGAGAAAAGAGGAGCAAACGACGAGTTACAAAGCTCAAAACGACCAAATTACACCAATCAAATTGCCAAAAAGTTGAGACAAGAAGCAAATCAAGCACATACCTTTATCTCCCTCCATATGTTATCTTTGTTTTGTTTTGGGACATAATGCCAAGTCGTAAAAGTAAGTGGTGCAAGACTCCCATCTCGTGCCAAAACGTCCAAATGTGAAGCAAGAGATGTGTATCCTTCAACTACTTGATTCAACTCATTTTAAACAACTTTTAAAACGCCATCTTCACTAGTACCCCATTGACCATGCATATATGTGGGACCCCTTGTCTGCTTTTGTGTGGCTTGACTTGAGCTAGGACCTACAAAACATGATGTAAAAATGAATGCTCTCTGAATGTGGACAGAAATTGACTTGGACATCATTTAAACACAAATTAAACAAGTTGAAAATGAAACCGACACAATTGAAATAGGAAAGACTAAAATGAAACGTAGGGGTATTTAACCCTATGTAGCATGTTAGGGGCCCAACCACTGGGCCATCTGCTATGTTTCCATTAAACAGAAGAAGAAAAACATTCCACCCCAATGAAAAAGTAATTAAATTCAGAAAAATAAAACCAAACACACTATCTGAAGTCCTACCTCAAGATATTGAGGGAACACGATGATATTCATAAGCTAAGGCGATCAATTAAGACAACATGGATTTAGGCATTTAACTCTAGGTAATATGATCATTTTCACATATTGTAGCAAACTATCATTTTCATGCTAGACAGCATGCCATAGAGGCTACCTATCCACAACAATGGTTGCCTTGTATATATAATTTAAGTTAAAAACTAAACATTGAGGTAGGTCTTACATCCAAGGAACTAAATATTGATACAAAATGATGAAATGACATCTAGATGTGACTATCAATTAAGATGACATGGTAACAAAGCAGCAATTCATATTGGAGCTATGTGTTTGGATAGAGCTTTCAAAAATTATACGTACCAGCTGAAACAGAGCCATGTGATGTGCTACCGCTACGTGATGTGGTAGAAAGACTGCCCGGAATAAAGATGGTTAAAATTAGTTGAGGAATCACAATCACAATCACAATCATATTAGTTGAGGAATCATATTAGTTGATCTGTTGTTGTCTTATGTGGGGTTAGCATTCATTTTTTTATAGATCTGCTTTCCGGAATAAAGAAGGAAGTAGAAGCTGGAAGTATTCCTTCAAATGTTGCTCAGGCAATGGAGAACTGTATCAGAATTATCGAAATGCAGTAAATTAATTCTCTTGAATTTATGCTATGATGTTCTAGAAAGATGATACTACTACTTTTTTATTTATTGACACAATGCTCTATTTTTCTAGTCTTAGAATTACTTCATATGGTTGAGCACTGCTGATCTTTCATTGATTTGGCATTTCATACTAAAAATATTTCTATTTGTTATCGTTTGCTTCTCAAGTAAGTTTACCATACTATTGGAACGTAAACTTAAAATGTATAAATGCTAAAATTGGAATTACAATTTAATTTTGGAAATGTGGTTTTCTACTGTCTAGCCAAGCAATTTGACACAGTTTTTTAGTAGGTGTTCGCATCAATTTCCTTTATTGACTGAAAATAGGATGATGTAACATTCCCTTTTACATATCTTGTTGTTTGCTTTAAAATTATAATTGCTGCGACTATTAGTCTTATCTTTCTAATTAGGAAGATAGGTTTATAGTTTTTTGGTTGCAACTTGTAAGTAAAGAAACCACTATATGCGCATAACCTATGTACATCAGAGTATATGGTTGCCACACAAAACTAAGCTTATACGAGAACCTCAAGTCTCTGACAAAATCAACAAAAGACAATAAGTAGTTGGAAAACTTTATTAAAGTAATTAGCAGTGTTCCCAATATATGAACCCAAATTAATTTATTCCAAATAGTTGTACAAGAAATTAATTTATTCCAAATAGTTGTACAAGAAATTAATTTATTCCAAATAGTTGTACAAGAAATTAATTTATTCCAAATAGTTGTACAAGAAATTAATTTATTCCAAATAGTTGTACAAGAAATTAATTTATTCCAAATAGTTGTACAAGAAATTAATTTATTCCAAATAGTTGTACAAGAAATTAATTTATTCCAAATAGTTGTACAAGAAATTAATTTATTCCAAATAGTTGTACAAGAAATTAATTTATTCCAAATAGTTGTACAAGAAATTAATTTATTCCAAATAGTTGTACAAGAAATTAATTTATTCCAAATAGTTGTACAAGAAATTAATTTATTCCAAATAGTTGTACAAGAAATTAATTTATTCCAAATAGTTGTACAAGAAATTAATTTATTCCAAATAGTTGTACAAGAAATTAATTTATTCCAAATAGTTGTACAAGAAATTAATTTATTCCAAATAGTTGTACAAGAATGACTTCAGCTATATATATACATATATATTTATATTCAGGTCAGAATCAAATATCAGTTCAGATTAATTCAAATATCATATCAGATTAATTCAAATATCAGTTCAGCTTGATTCAACAGGACATGTAACATGATTCAAATATCAGTTCAGCTTGAGAGAGAGAGAGAGAGAGAGACAGTTAGAGACAGAAACAATGGAGCTCACCAATCTGAATCGCTGAGATGAAATTCGATTTCGAGAGAGAACTGAAATGGCTCTGATGAATCATCGATCTGTTTCGCTGAGACCGAGCTGAATCTCTAAATTACAGAGCTGAACTGACAGAGATAATTAGGGTTTAGACAGCAGAGAGAGAGAGAGTCGCTCACCGATCTGAATCGATTTTGAGAGAGAGCTTCGAAATGGCTCTGATGAATCACCGATGTAAGATCTTGGAAATGGCTCTGATGAACTTTGAACTTTGAAATGGCTCTGATGAACACTCACCGATCTGAATCGATTTCGATTTTGAGAGCCAGAGCGAGCGCGAATGTGAGTGTGAGTGTGAGTGTGAGTGTGAGTGAGCGAGAGTGTGAGTGAGAGTCAGATTCAAAATAAAGGTGAAGCAGGAGAGGGAGCGTGTGGGACAAAATCATTTCAAGACGTTTGTATTCGTAAAACGGCGCCGTTTTGATTAGAGAAAAATACAACGTTTATGAAACGCTGTTAAATATTACAAATATTGGCGTTTTAAAAAATGCCGTTAAAAATACACCTCAAAAATTGATATTTCCAGTAGTGTAACAAAATGATAAAAGTGCCTCATACCAACTTACCCCCAACAAGAGATCAGCCAAATAACTACTTCTAAGATAATGTCACCACAAAACATGATGGAATAAAAATTAAAATAAAGAATCACCTTCCATCAAATAAAACTAAATACCTCTTAATTAGGGCCACCACTAACCACCTAAGATCAAATGCACCCAAATTAAATCCAATGATAATACCAGACCAACATATCAACACCATAAATTCTCACCACACCACAAATTCTCACCACACCATACCACACCACACCTATAGCTAAACGAAATATCAATATAAGGGATTCACAATACGTATACCAATGATACAAGACAATCTTATAGCTAATAACAAGGGATACAAAAATAATCTCCATTTAAACACATTGTTTGGGAAGGGTTAAACTAGCCCATCCCAAATTAAAATAGCTAATTAAAAAAGACATCCCAGCACATCACTCCCTACTTTTTTGCATGCCTTTTCATAAAATGTCAAATAGCCAACTAAAATAGCCTATTCCTAAACAGGGCTTATTTCAATCCAAAATACTCACGTATTACCTCTAATCTTCACAATTTCTAACTTATAGCTGTAACGCCTTCAAAATAAACCCACATTATACACAATATTGGCATGCATTGATATAAGAAAACAAAACATTATTCCATTCATCAGAGTATTCTTATTGAAAAACATCACATGTAACGTCAAAGTAAATGCCCTACGGGCTTACAGCTTTCCAAGCCAATACTTGGACACAAAATGTGAGTACTAACTCAACTACAAATTAAGCCCTTGGCTTGAGTTTACATGTAATATCAAATAACAACTAACTAAAACAAGTCTTCAAATCTAAATCCTTCCAAGCTAAGTTCTTGGAGGTTGCATATCACCTGGACCTGAAAATGATGTTCCCGTATAGGGTGAGCCACAGCCCAGCAGAAATATACTAAACCAAATATAAGAATTGACTAAAGCAATAGCATTCAATAGATGTTTAACACTTATAAATCCATTATATCACTATACAGTTTCATGACACTAATATCCATGACATGTTTCACTTTCCGTTATTATTCAACTTTCCATTTATACAGACATGGCTCAGAACCTGGCCAAACTATAAAATGAGACTACATCCCACATTAAACATTACTTTCAATATCAACAATTCAAATGAGACTAAGGCTCATACGAAAACACTTCCATAAATCAATAAGTACACATATTTGCTGTACTAATGGAGTCCATCCCCTTTCTCCTCCTAAACAGGTTTGAGAGTCCATCCCCTATCTTCCCTCAAACCATGGAGTACATCCCCTATCTCCTCCCAAACAATATGCATATACAATGTATTAAACACTTGTCATACACAATATTCAATCAATACACGCATTTGCTGTATTAATTCAACCGTCATATTCAATGACTTATTTAATGTGATTAGTTTCAGTTTTCCCTAATCAACATGCAATGTCTACAACAATCACGACTATCCTCCACCAATAGCCCAAAACAATTATTTCTAAACAGGAAATAAATGTATCAACAAATATAAACTCAACATTTTCATAGGTGAGTAATTAGATTATCCAACTACACCATTTAATCTCATGATTTCCCAATTTCATGAATTAAACTAAATTCCCCATTTTCTCAAAATTAATTATACGAATTAATTTATTTCAACAATTAGAGCTTTTTAAATTATAAATCAAACCCTAGCTTTTCTCAAAATTACCGAACAACACCAACATATCAAAATGACCAAAACTTAGGACAAAACCTATAGTATGGAGTAGGGTATCCCTACCTCGAAGTGAAGAACTCAAATGGAGATGATGACCCAAAACCCAAAGTGCTCCAAACCGCCAAACTTTCAAATTAAAACAAAGCCCTCGCGACCCTCTATCTTTTTAACAAAGAACCTAGGGTAGAAACACCCTAAAAATAGATGAAACCTAAGAGAGAAGGTGAGTGGAGGGAGAGAGAACACGGACCTAGGGTTTTTAAAACAAAAGAGGATGAAAAAAGACGTTTAAAACCGCTGCTGAGTATTTAAATAAAACAGGCTCGCTCGAGCGAAGGATTAGTCGCTCGAGCGACAAGACACAAGAAATCCTCGCTCGAGCGAAGAAAGTCTCGCTCGAGCCAAAAACTCGAAGCTTCAGGTCTGCAACCCAGAAGCATGCTCGAGCGACAGAATGCTCGCTCGAGCGAATAACTCGAAAACATACACCTCGCTCGCTCGAGCGAATAAAATCTCGCTCGAGCCAAGAAACACAGCTCTCAGGTTCTATACCCAGACGCAGTCTTTCGCTCGAGCGAATAAACCATGGCTCGAGCGAAGGCCCAAAAACAAGAGCTCGCTCGAGCGACAAACTTTGCTCCCAACACTCCCAAACTGTAATAAACCTGCCCAATACAACCCATAACTCAAATGACAAGGAAATAAAGGACGACAACAACATATATACAACCACAAGATCCACGGAACCTAAGTCCGGATACAACAACCAAATGGGAAAGACCGGGGTCGCTATAATAGCTATGGATAACTATAAATGTTAATATTAATTACCCTTATCAAGCATATAAATTTTCACGAAAATATCCAAATCACAACCACACCAACTATCTCAAAATACCTAGTCATAATCTCTATAGAATCACAATATTCTCACAAGATCATTTCAAAAAATTTCTCCAAGGACATTGGTTTGCTAACACAACTCTTGAGGCATCAATCACATCATATCCCTAAACACTCATATATTACACTTGAGTACATCAACAACACAATTCTGAGGCAATTGATTCCACAAATTCGAAAGCATGCGAAATTCGACTAACATATCCCAAAATGTCAACTCACAAGTCACCATTTTCACTACTGTGGAAATTCAACCAAATGGCACAACCCAATCAAATTTAATCTTATCCCAATCTATTCGAAAATTCTTTATCTAGTTCATTCACTTATAATAAGTTACAGATTCCAAACTAAACAAATTCAATAAGCAACACTTTCCTTAATACACTTTACAATTCCCACCATAATAAGACCATACCTATTCCAAATACAGACCAAGATAATCAGCCTGAGGCCTAACACTAACCTCACAAGTAGTCTCAAACAAGTGGAACAACCCAACCATAACTAATTTCATCTATCCCAAGGAAACTTAGTGTTAGGT